CATAAATGTGAAATATTTTAACATTATAGGTGTCCTGTAAATGTTCGTACAAGTGTAGAAGCCTTATTTACGAACGGAAATTAGAATTATATGAACAGTTCTATGAAACCGACTCTGCTAAACAGGGTACTTACCTCATGGGTCTGATAAACATAGGGAATATTAAAAGAAGAAGACATGGGACATTTGAGTCTGCAGAAAGTAGTCGGCGTCAGTGCAGCATATTTTATACTGTGCCTGATGGAAACTTAGTGCTGGTTTGTAAGCGCACATTTTTAAATATATTTGCCATAACCTCTAAAAAGATATAAATCTTGGTGAAGAAGAAAAAGAAGATAAGTGAAACATTTTTTTTTGACAAGAGAAAAGGTGACAGTCAATCAAAGTTCACAAAAATGCCCGCCAACGAGTCAGAGATCACATACTGTCTATACCTAGGGACGTAAGTCATTATTCCAGGCAAAAATCTGAAAAAGAGTACTTGAGCCCTGATCTGAACATTCATAGATTGCATAGGGCTTTCCTTGAAAAATTTCCGGATTCACGTGTCACATACAAATATTATCGGCTTGTTTTTTTGAAAGATTTCCCGAAATTGTCATTTCACCGCCCTAGAGTTGATACTTGCAGAACTTGTGATAAATTAAATTGCGAAGTGCAAGCTCAAATTTCAAGTAGTAAGACAGCAAAGACCTATCTTGAACTGCACCATAGGAAAGTTGAGAAATCTCTAGCTGCATTAAAGGAAGATACTGTTGTCTCACAAAAACCAGGAAGTATACTTTCTTGCATAACGATGGATCTGCAACAAGTTCTGTTTGTGCCTACGTTAACCCATTCAGACATGTTCTACCTCAGCCAGTTATCTTGTTATAATTTCGGCGTTCATCTAAGTGACAACAACTCAGCATTCATGTGCATGAGGAACGAATCTGTAGGATGAAGAGGTGGTAACGAAATTGCTTTCTGTTTGTTGAGTGTGTTGAATATGGGAATCACTGACAAAAGGCATATTACGATCTGGTGTGACAACTGTGCTGGCCAAAATAAAAACAGAATGGTCCTGTTCGTTATGATCTTTTTGGTCTGTACTGGCGTATTAGAAAGCATTAAACAGAAATTTATAGTAAGTGAACATAGCTGTATGGCTTGCGATCGCGTTTTTGCACTCATAGAAAAAAGAAAGAGAACAATGAAGAGTTTTGTACCGAATGATCTGCATGATGTTGTCAGTTCAGCGAAATATAGTCCTTCGTTTTCGGTTGTAAATATGAAAGAATTGGGATTTTTTGATATCCAGGCAGCAGCTGACGGCCTTATCAACACCAAAAGCCTTAATATCAGCAAGGCAGTTCATGTAAGAATAGATTTAAAAAAACTTGGAAACGTGCTAACGATGGATACCTTTAGCGATTTCGAGCAGTGGAAGGAGACCTGTATTTTAAAAAAGGGTAAAAAGGCGTCAGATTTAAAGAACACGGTAATAAAATTGCTGCCACCTGAAAATAAAATCAGAGACAATAAGAAAAAATCCTTCACCTTAATGATAAACTTCCTAAAGAAGAAATAGCATCAAGACTTCTACAGGAAGATTTTGAACATTGAATAAAATAAATAAGTGCTTAAATAAACATAATGTAATTATTATCATATGGCTTTGTTTGATACTCTATTTTTGTAATTTTTGAGATAATATAAAATTCTTTTTTTTAAATTAAACATTTTTTATTTTAACAAGCTTAAATGAACATAACATTAATGTAATACGGCTTTCTTTAATATTTTATTTTCCGGCACTTACTACTTTTTGTTTACTAATTTTTGTTTTGTTTTTAATATTCTTATTATATTTTAACGATTGTTATCAGATTACGCGTCTTTCAGTGCTTCTATAAGATAATGCTTACTTTGTTGCAAGCAGCATTCACAAGAATAAACTTGTTTCTTTCAATATAAACATTTTGTCATTTTGGCACTTAGCCCCTTTTGCGTTTCCACTCTTCAATTATGATAAATCTAAAGCCAAAGGATAACAAACGACCCAAATAAAGAAAAGTATGCATTACCCAAAAGAAGAAGAATATAGATCTGTTCAAATATGCAATAAAAACGGAATTTTACCGTACAAATCTACAAATCATGCGCTGTATACAATTTTTGGAAAGAGCGCACGATTTGTAAGGTAATATTACGGTTTTCGCGCGTGTTGGAACAAACCTTATATATCACCAACAAAGAATACGAATAAGTGATAACAAAAATGAAGAAGGGCAAATTTTAAAGCCATTTTAAAGAAAACAAAATTGTCGATTGTCTACCATTTATAATAAGTATATTACAATGGCCCATATAAAACACAGTAAAGGTTATACAGCCTCTATAGTTAAATATTTAACACAACCATTTTATGGGACGCCAATGGAGAATATCTATACCTTGCTATCAAACTAAAACATGCTACCTGTTTTACCTTTCTGTCAGCTCAAAAGTTTCAAAAGTCAGATACATTGGGCAATGAACGTAAAAGGGAATTCACGAGATTTAACGAATTTCAAAACAAATTGGATTATGCAGACTTTAAAATAATTTCAGTTAATTAATTTCATAGCCAGTCGTAAAGTTGTTAAATAAAACAGTATTTTAAATTATTTTATCGGTATAATATGATGTAAATATTTCTAAAAGACATTTATTCAGGTTATAATTCTTAATTTTTTGATCTTAGCTAGTCCCGCTTTTTATCGTTTTACCTCTATTTTTTGAGTTGATATTTTCTATTGCATAATTTATAAGCAATCTTTAATTGGTGTCTGAGTTCACTATTTTTGTTTGGTTCTAATTTTTAAATGTATTACTATGTTATGAAACAAAATTGAATTTTCGTGTGAACTTGATATTTTGGTTTCTCTACATTTAATTAATCTATTTTTGATATGAACACTACTGGAAAAACGTTCAAGGAGGTACTTTTGGTCTTCAAACGAATGTGGCACCGACACATTAGACCACCCATCAGGTCAACACTACCCATGTGATGATTGTATTCCCGGTTGTTTCGAGGACAGTCAATTTCACCGTAGATCTTTTTGGTTAGGGAGTAACGGGCTTTCTCTGGTTGCTTATTCGGATTGGCAGAACAAAAGGTTTACAACTACATAGGCTTTTATTATACTTGAATTGATAGGCTCAGGTAAAAGTGGTGTTAGCTTAGCCAATAACAACCTAGAGATCTAAAACATAAAACCGTTATAAGCTTTGATAGCTGAATTTAAGCAGCTTCTACATGATTCGATTGACCGGGCTGGTAAAGTTTGCTCATACTGACACTAATGTTGATTGCGTCTGATAACAAATCTGTTTCTGATTCTATCAATGTGTCAACTACTGCTTCGTCTTCTTGTGAGACTTGCCAGTCATGATATTTGACACTAGCATCATCATCGAAGTCAGCATCATCTTCACCATTTTCTTCGTATTCTGGGTCTGATACACTATCCAGTAAGTCAGAAATCTGCTCATCAGTTAATCTTCAAAAGTTCGAAGATTTTTTTCGAACATCAGTGTAGAGAACAAATTTATTTATTGGCTTTTTTTCTATTGAATGTATTTATGTATAAAAAACACTAAAATAAGTAAATACACTAAGTAGCACTGTATTTATTCATTATTTTATTTACTATATAATAAAATTGTTAAACTACGATAAAACAAAGATAAATCATGAAACCGATAAGTAATTTTAAGTAATTTTAAGTAAATTTAAGTAATTTTAAGTAATTTTAGATAATTTTAAGTAATTTTAAGTAATTTTAAGTAATTTTAAGTAATTTTAAGTAATTTTAAGTAATTTTAAGTAATTTTAAGTAATTTTAAGTAATTTTAAGTAATTTTAAGTAATTTTAAGTAATTTTAAGTAATTTTAAGTAATTTTAAGTAATTTTAAGTAATTTTAAGTAATTTTAAGTAATTTTAAGTAATTTTAAGTAATTTTAAGTAATTTTAAGTAATTTTAAGTAATTTTAAGTAATTTTAAGTAATTTTAAGTAATTTTAAGTAATTTTAAGTAATTTTAAGTAATTTTAAGTAATTTTAAGTGATTTTAAGTAATTTTAAGTAATTTTAAGTAGTTTTAAGTAATTTTAAGTAATTTTAAGTAATTTTAAATAATTTTCAGTAATTTAAAGCGATTTAAGTTATTTTAATTAATTTTAATTTATTTTAAATAATTTTAAGTGATTTCAATTGAGTTTAAGTGATTTTAATCGATTTTAAGTTATTTTAAGTGATTTTAGACAATTGTAGGCCATTTTACACGATTTTAAGTGATTTTAATTAATTTTAAGTGACTTTAAGTCTCTTTAAGTAACCTTAAGTGACTTTAAGTTACTAAGTGGCTTTAAGTGTCGTTAAGTGACTTTAAGTGACTAAGTAACTTAAAGTGTATTTAAGTGACTTAAATTGACTTGACTTTAAGCAACTTAACTTTAAGTGACTTTAAGAGACTTTGAGTGACTTTAAGTGACTATAAGTGACTTTAAGTGACTGTAAGTGACTTTAAATTACTTTAAGCGACTTTAAGTGACTTTGAGTGCCTAAGTGACTAAGTAAATACGTGACTTTAGGTAAATTCAAGTAACTTTAAGTGACTAAGTGATTTTATGTGATTTTAATTCAGTTTAAGTGATTTGTGATTTTAAGTAATTTTAAACAATTTTAAGCGATTTTGAGAGATTTTTTTATGCAATTTTAAGTGATTTTAAATGCTTTTATGTGATTTTACGTAATTGTATATGATTTTGACTGATTTTAAGTGATATTAAGTTATATTAAGTGATTTTAAGTGGTTTTAAGTAAACTTAGTTGAATTTAAATGATTTTAAGTAATTCTAAGTGATTTAAAGTAATTTTGATAGTGATATTATAACTGGTGAAAGTAATTGTTGGAGAGTGCGCTACAATCTATAAGTAAGACAACCTTTCAAAATAAAAAACACCTTTTTCTTATTTTCGTGATTTATTATTTAAGATATCTACAAGATGTTTGTAATTTTTTTAATATTGATTTTAAGGCGCCTAAATTCAATTTATTTTTTATTTTAATCTGAATTTACTACAAACAAAAACTTGAGCGTTATAATCGTAAGTCAATTGTAAAAAAGGTCTTGAATTTAAAATTAAATTAGGATCTGCAGCCCGTCAAACAGATAATAAAATTAGTCATGAGGAGTCACGCTTTACCAAATACTAAATTTACTCAAAATCATTCGTTCGACAATACTTGAATTGGGCAGCAACGGCCCACCAAATAATAGCAATTATAGAGTAACTCCTCCACAACTAAATAATTTCATTTAATATTTGCTGGATTATAATTGCTTATCCCTTGAGATATTACCCTATGAAATGAAGAATCTTAGCCTTTCTTGGGTTTCACAGATAATTTTTTTGCAAGTTTATTATCTTCTGATACTGTTTTTCTTCGACCTAATTTCGGTTTTTCAGGATATTGTACTGCAAACATCATCGGAGTATTAGCTATATATTCGTCTGATTTTTCTAATAAATCCTCAACGTAATACGTATTGCGAATTCTTCGATTTTGAATTTCTTCCAACTCTTCTTTAGCACCTAGATGAAATAACAAAATAAATAGAAACCATTTCAATTAAAACTATAAATCCGGTCTTGTATAATTAAGTTTTAAGGATGAGGTAAAAAGTTATGTGACTAATTTTAGTTTTACAGTGGTAAATTCCAGATAAAAACAAGCCAAGGACGAATGGCTTAGGTGGGCCATTCTAATTTTGCGTGCAGGTAAACTGGCCCTTGCAAAATAATAAGAGTACCAGAAACTCATTTTTAATATAAAAGTTGGGAAATTTAGATAAAAGTGGACATAAATAAAGTAACTTGATATTCTGTTATTTAAGTTTATCAAAACGAAAAAGTTGGTAACAAAGTGATTATTTTTGGTAACAGTTGATATACAGGTAAATAATACCTTGTCCAACAGTGTGTTGTTTAGGCCGCTATTTAACGTAATTAAGGGGGATATTTAAAATTTATTCAGCATATATACAGAGACTATAAGTTATAGATTTAAGTTATGTTTATTTTTAAAATTAAAATTAATTAATAATATTAATTATTAAATAATTTAGACATGTCCCTTTCTTTTTATTTATTTGCAACTCCACTATGTTACCATCTATCAAAATTATACAAACATTGCTAGATGCTGCTATGTATAATATGGAGTCGCTCCAGTGTTAACTAATTAAAAGTCTTCCCGCGCACGCTATCACAAGGTGCGGCGAAATGTGACTAGTACATCTTAGACCAGCAAACTATGTGCCTGTGTTTTTGACGGAACACCTCTGTTATCAACTTTTCTCGGTAAGTACTTATTTTTTTTTGTTATAATAGGGCATACCTTTGAGGATTAATGGTATGGCGCATGCAACTTTTTATGGGGTCCATGTGTTTAATTTAGGCAGAATTTCAGTAGATACATTTATTTTACAACTCTGTTCCTGCTATACTATGTTACCGCAAGAAAGTAAGAGAGTGGTGGCAAAGATAACAGAGTGGTAAAATCCATATTAAAAATAATCAAACTGATATTAATATTTTAATTTTTATTTAGATAAAGAATACAGCAATATGCCAGCTGAAAAACAAAGGCGAAACAGGAAGAAAAGAAAGCAAAATTTTGTAAAAGAAGCAGAAACAAGAGAGAAAGACCTTATAAGGTATTATACGAAAAATAAGTTGGTCAAAGATATGACACCAAGGGAACATAGAAGCGCAAAGAAAAAATGGAAAAAGGCTAATAAAAAAGAAGCGAACAACAAAAAGCTGTTCAGCGACTAATGGCAATTGACACGCCACCAGCGTCTCCTGTTGGAACACCACGAAATTTAAGTCCTGCAATGCGCGCACATGTTTTGGGACGAAGAAAGGTTAGGCGCGATGGGTCAAAATTATTTAGAGAAAACCAGAAGTAGTTTACAGAAATTGAAAAAATTAGGAGGCAGTATCTAAAGTACAAAAAAAATACCAAAGAACTAAAAAGAGACAGTCACATGATAATATAAGATTTTGTCGAGTGAAATCAAACTCCACTACTCAAAAATAAAAAAATATTCAGCAAAACGATACATCCAGGACATATTCAATCAAGAGGAAGTAAATAAGTCTAGGCATCAATCGCAAATATTAAAAGAAAGCTTAGAAATTCAGCAAGGGTATTCTGTATCTGTAACGTGTGAAGGGTAGATTACCCCCCACGGCACTTAGGCCTCATTAGGCACATTGTGCATCCTCCTGAGATGATAGGCACCTCCTAGCTCGTGAGCCAGCCTACAGATTTTATGTAATTGACGTCGCCAAGAGGCGCTTCTCTTATATCGGCCGCTGTTAGCCGATACTCGCCGAACACAAATCTTCTAATAAATGAGAGCGTCGGGCAATCGTAAAGTATATGCTCGATGGTCTCATCTTCCTGTTTGCACCCTCTGCAGAGTGCGGATTCTGAAAGCCCCATGATTTGGAGATGCCTTCGTACTTGGCAATAACCAGTCAGAATGCCTGTGACTAGGCGCAGATTCTGTCTAGTCATAGTCAAGTATTTGTTTGCTGCAGTGTTATCAGGATAACTTAAGAGCTCCCTGGCAACTCTGCAGTTTCTCGATATATCCCATCTTTCCTTGAATTTCACAAGGGAATGTTCTTTGATTAGGTCTGTCACTACCGATTTTGTCAGGCCAATAGAAGGGCTAGGTCCAAAAAGTATTTGGTTGACTGCTTTCTTGGCTAGTGAATCAGCAAGACGGTTACCTTTCGATGTAGCCTGACCTTTGATCCATCTTAAGTTGTTGATGGATACTTCGGCCAAAGCTTCGTGACATTCTAATACTAACCCTAAGTAAATTCGTGGTCTGTTTAGGGTGAGTAGTGCTTGTCTGCTATGTGTATAGATGAGCATGTTCCTTTCAGTGATATTGTTTCTGGTTATTTCTTTTGCTGCTATGAGAATACCCGTTAGCTCTGTTTGAACTACACTGGCACTATTGCTTACAGCCCATTTTCTGGAGTATATTCCACATCCTGAGCCTTGTTTTGTTTTAGAACTGTCGGTGTAGATATGAATCGTACCTGCCACTTCCGGCTCTTCCAGTTGTTCTATTATAACTTTATATGGCTTATGGAAGATAAATCTCGGTGAGATGGAGTCCATGTTAGCTTGAAGCAGTGGTAGCGTGTTGAGCGCCTCCTGCCAAAAGCGACGTCTCGCTTCACCAGATCCTACATCAGGTTCTACTCCAACCGTGCGGAGGCATGTGATTGTCTTTAGATCAACCTCCTGGATGTAAATATCAAGGGGGGTGAGACTGAGAATGACTTCCATGGCCCTGGTTGGTGTTGTTTTTATGGCTCCTGTTATGTTGAGACATGATGTTCTTTGAATTTGTTCTAGTTTACGGATATCTGTTAATTTTTAGGTTTTCGGTACCCAGACAACTGCACCGTATGTTAGCATAGGTCTTATGATAGCCATGTAAGTCCATGCGATGACTCTGGGGGAGAAACCCCAGGTGCGCCCCACGGTTAGGCGGCATTGTTCATAAGCAATGTATGTTTTTTTTAACTCTATTTTCTAAATGCGAGTTCCATGTTAACTTGCTGTCGAAGGTGAGACCTAGGTACTTCACCTCTGTTGCAAAGTTTAGTTTTGTGTTTGGGAGTTCTGGAGGTTTTAATTCCATTTTCATCCTTTTCCTTATGAAAAGGGCCATTTCTGTTTTCTTGGGATTGATAGACAGTGAATGGTCCTTGCACCACTGTTCGATAATTTTAAGAGCTACTTGCATTCGTTTGCAGAATGACCAGGTCATCTGTATATGCTATTGTGTGTGACTGTTATTATTTAGGCGGCTGATGAGGGTGTCGAGGACCATATTCCACAGTAGAGGTGATAGCACCCCTCCCTGTGGACATCCCTCGCAACCAAGCCTCTTATATTTACATCTTCTACACTTATGTTTACTGCTTGCTTTGAGAGCATGTTATGTATTCACCCACTAACCATTTGTGGAACATTTCTGTTGGTTAGTGAGTGTATTATCTTTGGGAAGGTGGTATCAAAATCACCTTCTATGTCTATGAAAACACCCAAGGCGGACTCCTTATTGTCCAGGGATCTTTCTATCCGGCCAGCAACTAGATGAAGGAATGAATCAGTAGATCTGCCTGGGGTGTATGCATGTTGGTTTGGGTTTAACGGTGTTGTTGTAATCACCGTATCCCTTATGTACCTTTCGCATAGCCTTTCCAATGTCTTCATGGAAAACGATGTCAGACTAATTGGTCGGTATGTTTTTGGAACAGTGTAATCCATCCTTCCAGGTTTGGGTATAAATACCACTTTTACCTCTCTACATTTTTTGGAAATATACCTCAAAGCCAACGAGGATCTGAATATACCCACCAGGTGCGGTGTGAGTTCTTCCAGACCCCACTGAAGTAGGGCTGGATAGATACCGTCAGGTCCTGGCAATTTAAATGGAGAGAAGCTGGATCAGCAAGGGTATATAAGACGAAGAAGAGCAATAAAGAAAAAGTCCAACCTGGTTCTAGTGATCCAAGCTTTCTTTAAACGTGATGATGTTTCACGGGCTACAGCTGGAAAAAAGAAGACTGTCACGTGGAAAAAGCAAAAAATGCAAAAGCGATATATATTAGATTCCATAAAACTACTTTATGAATCTTTTAAAAAAGAGAATAATATGCTAAAATGTTCTTACAGCTATTTTGCTAAACATGGGCCTTTTTTTGTTATGCCACCTTCTATTGATGGAACGGATACCTGCCTATGCAAACTTCACACAAACACTCAATATATGATAAATGCTTTGTATAACAGAAAAATAATTAAACTGCACAATATGGGTACTGTAGTAGAAGAAACAGTTTGTTCTTCGTACTCGGTTGATTGCATGACAAGTATATGTCTTAAATTGTAAATCAAAGAAAATGAAGTATATTATTGATGAAATGAAAAAAAGTGATTCTATCTGATTTTCGCAGTGGGTAAGAAAATCGGAGATAGTTGAAAAATCTGGTAAACAAGTAAAAGTATTTAAGAATGTTAAAGAATTAGTAGAAAAATCTGTAGAAGAACTGATCACTATTTTCGAAAATACACTCAAACAATTGAAACACCACATTTACAACATCAAAATCCAACACAAATGTTACAGGGCTTGCATTGACGGTCTAGAAAATGATGAAGTAGTATTGCATATCGACTTCAGCGAGAACTGTAGTTGTAAGCATTTCGAAGAGGTGCAGTCACACCACTTTGGTGGTTCAAGGAAGCAAGTATCATTACATACAGGGGTAATGTACCACCAAGAAAACGAATCAAAAATTGTTACTTCATTTTGTTCTGTGTCGGAAAACAATTCGCATAAATTACCAGCAATTTGGGCACATTTACATCCCATTCTACTCCACATTCAGATGAATTTACCACAAGTCATCACTATCCATTTATTTTCAGATGGACCCGCTACACAGTACAGGCAAAACCAAAACTTTCTACTTATATGTTCAGAAATTTTTATAATATATAAGTTTAAACGTGTAACGTGAAATTTTTTTGAGGCAGGACATGGGAAGGGAGCGGCGGACGGTGTAGGTGGTTTTCTTAAACGAACCGCAGATCAGATCGTAGCTATAGGCAAGAATATTTCAGATGCATTACAATTATTTGAAGCTTTAAAGGATTCTAGCAAAGTTAAGCTCTACTTTATACATGACGACGATATTGATCGAGTGGCAAAACATATTCCAAAACATATTTTGCCGCTGATCGGTACCATGCAAGTGCATCAGGTTTTTTTAGAAGATCCTGTTATTTTATACTACCGTAAATTAAGCTGAATTGCAGCCCATAACTAGTAGAATAATAGGTGAAAGGTCAACTAATGATCACGAAGCAATCTCTCGTAAATCTATATTTAATCTTGTTTATTCATCAGACTCTGATTCTGAAGATCAACCATTAAGCAAAATAGCCAACCCAAAGAACCCCACAAAAGGTGGTACTTCGTATCAAAGTGATCCAAGTTTAGAAGGTATTTGAATGCATCCTAACAATATAACCGAAGGGGTATATCTTCTGGTCAAAGTTTTCATTGAAAAGAGTATCTCTTATACTTACCTTGGATTTGCTCAAAGTTCAGTCGATAACGAAGGCGATGTTAAAATTATGTTCTTAAAAACCATAGATGATAGTGAAAGAAGATTTAGGCCAGTACCAAATGATGTGTCATATGAGCCATACGAAAATCTTATTAAAATTGTCTCTAACCCTATAAAACGCTATAAGGGTAAAAGAGTTTTAAGTTTTAAAGAGAATTTTGTTTTGTTTGATTAGTTGTTTTTTTATTTGGTATAACTGTCACCGTAGTTTGGGCTAAAAATGTGCTTAAAAAGAATAAAAGATCTGTTTTATTTTATTTGTTCGTGTTTTAATTAGATTTTTGTATTTTCATTAGCAAAGAGCAACACTTTGTTACTTCCTGTGCAACTCTGTTACTTTTTGAGTTCCCGACATCTTAGTATGCTTTATCGTTTTTTTGGTACTTAAATTAGCTCTGCTAAATAAGAACCAATAAACTTATGTTACTAAATATATCATGTTAAAATTTTATGTAATTTTTTTTTAATTAGATTTTTCTGAAAGCAACAAAAGTAACATAGTTGTCTTACATGTCTCAAACTTTCAGAAAAAAACAAATAAATTTAATAAAGTGACATAATTTTGTGATAAATATCATAAGTTCAATTCATTTGAAACTGTTAGAAAGTTTGTAGTATTTAAGTGTTTAAATATATTAAAATAAGTTTTGCAGTAACAGAGTGTATTATTTTCCAGGTTTCATCTATTTTTATCTAAAATAATTCTGTTAAATACGAAAAAAGTGTGCTGTTTCTACATTAATCTTAAAGAAAATAGATTAGTTGTTCGTTTTCAACACAAAAATTTACATTTTTGTATAATTATATTTTTCAATTTTATTAGTTTTATGTGCCAAAAACCTGTACAGAAAATAACGGCACAAGTGTCTTATTTTTGGCTATTATCTATTAGAGGTATATTTGAAATTTATCTCGGAATCTGAATATATCACCAATTTAGAAGGGCGCTCATTAAATTATGATAGTAACTATATTGTTTAGTATTTTAGGTACCATCAAGAACTGCTAGATAAAAACAAGAATAACAGGTCGGTTAAAAGCAAAATAGGACCACCAAATTCAAGAATAAGTAGAAAGTTAACAAACAAAGGATTACTATGTAGATATTTCTGCAGAGTACAATAACCATAAATTGTTAAGGCATTTGAAACAAGAATGAGTTAACACAAATTAGATTACAAAAAATTTTACCAGATTCCGTTTGACTAAGAAAACTGTAAACAGCATAATCATGGAAATACAAGAAGTAACTTGTTAATATTGTTACACTACACCCTGCAGTGGCCTGCGGCCGTTACAAGAAACGTACAAATACGAAAAGAAGTGCGATGTCACCCGTCATTCTATAGTGTGCTGCGATCATCATTTCTGCTAGCCTACCGAAGTTCTGAACATGAAACGACCAAATATACCCCATCCATGATGATTACCGGAAGGAAGATGAAACTTCCCCATGATCTCTTTTTGAAAGGCAGCCTCCTGGTGAAGAAGAGATGCGTACTCCTCCCACGTACATACAAAACTTAATCGAATGATTAGAGAAGGTATACGAATTCGCTCTTCAACGTTTGAAAGTTAATAGCGATAAAGCAAAAGCTAAAATCGACATGCATGCCACAGAAACATATTTTGAGAGAGGCGATCCAGAATGACTGTACAATCCCAAGCGCCGAAAAGGACTTTGTCAGAAGCTACAACGGAACTGGGAAGGCCCCTACACCGTCCTCAAGAAAATCAACGACCTGATCTACCGCATTCAGTTGTCAACGAGAAGTAAACCTAAGGTAGTTCACATTGAAAAGTTAGCGCCATACCGTGGTTCAGATCCTCCCCGTTGGCTCCAACTAGATCCCAGTAATCAAGTTATTCGAGACGAATAATTAGAGAAGTGGGAGAAATCTGGCCTGCTGCCGTTAGAGGAAACGTACATATACGAAAAGAAGTGCAATGTCACCCATCATACTATAGTGTGCTGCGGTCACATACTTTGATTACAATACGAGGCAAGAGAGAGGTCCGACACGCCCAACATAGGGCGCGGCCATTTTGAACCCTGTGAGATAGTTTACAGCTAAAGAATTAGATCGCTCACTCTGCGTCGGCACTTTTGATCTCAATGTTTCAGTTTATACACGGTGCAACTCGGATAATACAATATATGACAACCGCCTATAATAAAACAGCAGTCTTCTGGGTATCCTGAATTTGTATCTCTTAAGTGGATGTTATTTTGGATCTTTTAACTGTTTCGAGTGAGCTAACTGATTCTTTAGCAATAAAAGCAGAAGCGGATGATTAAAACGCACCTATTAAAAATATTGCGCCAAGATATAGGCAACACGTAATAAGGGTTCAAAATGGCGGAGTTTTCTATCTCCTTTTAAAAGGCACTCAAAAAGCTGCGCAGTGCGACCATTCTCCGTATAGTAAAAGAAAATCAAATTATGTGGCTGCGGCAATCATCATAAGTAAAAATTCGAGTAAAAGAAGATAGAATAGTCCAGAAATGTCGGGAAACGTCATTATTTGTCAAGAACATTCTAGGCATTTCGAGAAGGTTCGCTATATAAGCCGATGATCCTGACGTCAGTTTTCAGTTTTATGATAGACGTTATACGTTAATGTTATTAATCGGAAAGTTATTGTTAGAGTTGAATTGAGTTATTGTAAAGTTGAATTTAAATAAATTGTGATACCAAAAACCTGTGTAACAATATATACTAGCATAAAGCTTCGAAAGCTGTTTGGAATGTAGATAATTTCATTCAGTTAGACATCACAAAGTTTATCAAGCTAATAATTTTGAATAAACGTTCTTGTAATCGGCTGCATTTTGTATAAGAGGTTAAATTAAAATAGTTACCTGTTGTAAATACTTCGTAAAGTTCTGGAGCAAATCCGATAGCATTGTCTGCTCCAGATCGGCAATATTTCTTTATCCACTCTTCTTTCTTAGAATCTGGTATACTGAAACATTTTAAATAAAAATTTTTAGATACCTTTTCATGTCAACCAGTGAATAAGTTTGGTGATATTTTAAGATTTCAATTATTGAAACTGGAAAAATTAATAGTATAATTGTGCCACGTATAAGCAAACTGTTCCGCAGTTTTCTTTTATAGTTGTACATAATTTTTTGAACATTTATGTTTGTAGACTAACAACAGCTAACATTTGAGTCCCATTCAACTGACATGCCACCTTATTGGCTCACAGACAGAAAAAAGATAGCCGATATTTTAGCAAACTTTATGAGGGCAAAAGAAATGAACTCAGATTATTCTCCGATTCTTCTTACTCTTAGTGATGGCCAATATCTAAAAGAAAAGAACTCTTATGGCCGGTAATATAAAGGTTAAATAAAATTTAAGTTAGGTACTTGCCAAATAAATATACTTCCCAAGTAATTAACTGAATAAGTGAGTGAATTTTAACCCCATAAGCTGAGCTTGTGCGGGGAAAGGGACGGAAATTATTATTATTTTCCATGAATGTGACTTCCATGTGTGGCAACAATGACATTAGGAAACCTAGCTTGCCCTGTAAAACTTTGTACAAGTTTTGTTCATTGTTTGGATTATTTTTGGCATGTTAATAAATCTTTGCCTAAGTCTTGCTAAGATATGACTTAATTTACGTACGATCCTGCCTACGGTAGCCTTTGAAAGTGATCGCCTACATTAATTTGAAAAGTAATACAAGCAATAAGCAACTAATTCAAATGCGAAATATAATGATTTCTTGCTGTAATTGATTTTATATAATTTTCAGTCAGGGTTAGTACATACTCAACAGTTCTTTTGGACAATCTAGACCTTATTTTAAATTATGTGGTCTGAAAACTTTAAGTCGTTGTTATCTCGACTCAGCTAGTATAGATTCTTCTTCATCAGTAGACATGTTTTTTTTATTAGTTTGGATTGCACCTAGCTATATTTCAGCCAACCAGCAATTTTTCTTTATTTTAAACTTAAGTAAACTTAAGAGGCTGTAACGTTTAGATTTGACCTTACAGCGTTTTTCATTAAAATAAAGACGCGCCTGTTTTGTCCAGCAAATCCCGCCAGATAGTATTTATTAAACGGGTCCTTCTATACACGCATTTAAATCACTGTGCTTTTGGATCAATATTTGAACGGCTGATTTTGTCGTCACTGTCGAATTTTTCGTCACTGTCGAAGGCGTTTCTTCGCGGGCCTTTTTCCATAGATGTAGGGGTTTTTCTGCGACGCTCTGGGCAAGTAGGTAACTGCCCTGTATTCAAGATGTCGGTCTAGCGTTTCCGCCCCGACGTAAATTGTGGGTATATGATCAGTTTGGGGTAGATAGGACCTCTATTTGGGTTCAGTTAGGCTATTTATTTCGTTTTAGAGGTATGTTTGGTTATTTAAGCCCATTCTGTCAAGAATTTATTTCGTAATAGAGGGCGCTGATGAGACACCTGTTTGCCACTAAGGTATGTTGGTATTGTTGGTTTTGGGAGTGACGTCGGCTTTCTGGTAATTTGGAGATTCACTTTATCTTCGCACGTGGATTTGTGAAAGGCAGATTCGAAATTTATTGGAATTCATTTCCATCCATAATTAGGATATTGCGAAACAACCTTTTGTTTTAAAGTTTCAACAGTGTGTGATTTGGTTGTATTTTTGGTGACCACATGTTTGTAAGAGCTCTTTTAGGAGGATATATTTAACCAAGTTTTTGGATCTCATACTGTGCCCACATATATTTATAATCTTTTCTGGATAAGCTGTTCACGAATTTGTAGTTCAATTTGATCTGGTGCTTCGTGTTCCCCCTATTGCTGTTAAAGGGGGTTTTTGTGACGGGCTGACACTTCTCATGACGGGCCAGTAGATCTTGTTACGAACTAGTAGGCTTTTGGCGGACTAGCACATCTTGTGACCAGCTAGTACTTCTTGTGACAGGCTAGTATCCTTGTGATGAGCTAGAAGATACCTTTATGACGGGTAAATTGATTTGTATGCCAAAGCAGAGATAGTAGGACATCAACCGCCTACTAGAGTTTTCCCAGTCAGAAAGAAGTCACGGTGTACCGCAAGTTTTTGCTTACTTATTTTAATATTACTATATTACTATTTTAATCTATTTTATTGGGGGGGTTATTAGTACATAACTTTATCTAAACCTAATGTAAACGAGGTTTAGGGGTGTATAATTACAGTACATTTTAATAAAACCGAAAACGTCACCAAGAGCTCTTCGTGGGGTATATTACTTATAAGTAACTAATATTTTTAACAAGTAACAGAGTTTTACTTGTTTTTACCCCTAGCGACTGTAAATAGATCACTATTATTTATTTATTTTGATACGCACATATTTAAGATTTCCCCCAGTCCCATTTAAATATTTTTAAGTCAATATAGCGTTTTAGTTATGAATAATACTCCCAGTGGTACTGGATTATTGTTTATTGTTGTGAAATCTAATCGTTAAGGTACTAAATGATTTAGTTGTTGAATATTGTTATATTTCGAAGTGTGAGGTTGACCCCCATGTCAACACATAACAATTTATTTATATTATTAAACTTGGGTATATATATTGAATTTTCTTGTCATTCCCTACTTGCTAATTGTCTATTTGATTACATAATCAATTTGTAGCCGCTTGAAGGCCTTCGTAGAGGAGAGGCTTATGGTTTGGCTATTTGGAGTTTGATAGTGAACTGTCACTTGGATTGTTGGATGTGAGGTTAAAATCCTAGCGCCCACTCACATACATAACTTTTACTACGACTCACCCCTTCTTCACTGTAGTTAGTCGGCATCCAACATTTGGATTAATATAAATCCCACCTTTAAACTAAGAGTTCACCCAATGGTATCTTCTCCTTTCTGTTCTGATAACTATACACTGCACACACGCATTGTGCTCTGCTTTAACACACTTTCACATCACTAATTCAAATGGTTTGGTCCTTCTGAGCCTTCTCATTAGGTATCGGTTGTCCAAGAACTGTAGAACTTCGATGTTGACATAATCATGCAGTCTTTTTTCATGTTTTTTTGGGATGGTTTTCCTCTCTTCTTCTACTGTAGGCATTCTCAGATCTCTGTGCAGGTCTGAGTTTCTAACATACCAAGGGGCGTTTACTATTGCCCTTAATATTTTATTCTGGAAACATTGTATTATATTTATGTTAGTTTTACTGGCACAGCCCTAGAGCTGTATGCTATGTCAATACTGGCTTCAGTAATTGTTTATATAATAAAATTTTATTTTCGATTGAAAGTTTTGCTTTTCTATCCATCAACTAGTATAATTTTCTATATTTAATACCCAACTCTTTCCGTTTTTTCTTTATGTGTTCATTCTACTTTAATTTAATATCTGATTTTAGGGCAGCCATCTTTTATCTATTTCTACCAATTGTTTTATTATTTAGATAAGGATTATTTTGGTCTTTAAATTTCTTCTGGAGAGGTAAAAAGTTTTAAAAATAACATTTGAGGGGATTTGCCCTCGTAAAATGAAAAAAAAATATCGATTTTTGTCTGACTTCGCTTTATTTTTAAAGAATATGGCAATCTTCCTGCGTAGAGCGTCGAAATGTTGCAGTTCCGGTGCTTAATTAACTTATATCGATAAGGAGTAATAAGGCCCCATATGTAGCACCTACTACGTTAAAAAAAATTACGAAAGCCACCTATTATAATATTAGTTATCTTAAAAATCCCTTTCAAGATATTATTTTGACGTAAGGACTTTTCGCAAATTTAATTGCATGTTTTATTATAGCTCCGGCTCCGTCAGTGATAATATAGAGCCACTTATCGAATTCCCCATAGTCTAATACCACCAAAACAAAATAACAACAAATAAACATAGCAATAAACTGCACGAACCGCATTCAACGTTTTTCTATCTATGAGTCTCTATTCTACAATATTATTAACTCTGTCCGACTTGCTTGCCTCATTGTTCTTATAAACGCGCAAATGTCCTCTCGTATGTTCGAGAGCGGTCTAGCAAGAATCAAGATTCCAACACCCCAGTAACTTCCTTGAATTATTTATCCACCGCTAGTGGCCTCACATAGCCTATGTATGTGTTTTATCGTTTGATGCAGGAATTACTCGCTAGTTTATATTTTATTTTCAGGCATATTTTTTGGCCTCAACGAATGTCTGGACAGTCATGTCTTACATTCTTCTTTATTTTCGTTTTTCCCAAATAATCTTCTTACCCTCTTTATCCTGTTTCTATTGTTAGAGTGGTCTTTTCATACTTTTATAGAAAAATAAGTAGAAATTCTTCAGCATTTAAATATCTTAAAAAGTTTACAATACTCACTCTTTAATGTCTGCTTCTCCAGCTGCCCTAAAAGATATATTATTGTTAAAAAAAAGAAATATGATAATACTCGTACAAAAAATAAATGGAAAACAGAAAAATGTATTTAAAAATAAGGGTGAGCAAAAATCATAAGACAAATCTGTAGACATCCTAACCATTCGTTCAAAGAATCATATGATCTAATGATCTAATTTGATGTAATAAGATTCAATCCAAACTTGATTTTCCGGTTCTATTCACCCTTTCAATTTCTAAATAACGTGTTAAAAATGAAAAGTTGTATTACTTATATACTTACAGTGTTGCCATATCAATGCACTCGTTCAAAAAGAAGCAGTGCTCAGGTTTACTAAAACATAAATTGTTCTGTTACTTAGACTGTTACTATTAAAAAAATATTGCAAATTTCTATAACGTTAGCCACTAATAGTGACAACGTAATTAGAGGCAAATAAAGTCCATGTTCAAATAAGACTTATTGCAAACCTGAAATTTTATCATTAGAGTCCTTGTCACATCCCTAAACTCATTTTAAAAATTTTAAATTACAGTTCATCTATTTGTAGTTTATAATATGGAAGAGGCATTAAAAATTACCATTTTAGAAGGTTTAGATGACAATGATTATAATATTTAATATTAAAAATCTTCGAAATCATACGAATGTTGGCGAGCGCACCCGAAAACTATAAAGGCACCAGTATCTGCTGTCCTTAAACATCCACAATTAAGGACAGACACAATATTTATTAAAGTTAGTTCTAGAATGTAAGACATCTGAGCATGCGCAACTCAGATGTCAAAATAACAGCGGCAATAATAGTGACTGACCTTAAGTGAACTTGCAATAGCTCTCTATTGCTATTGATCTCTCTCCTAACAATGGCTAAGTTAGATTTAACTAATAAATATGATTTTAAGTTCTACGTCAACTTTATTAAATTATAACATATACTAGGTTAAAAAAAAAATTTGGATTCTTATACCACGTACAAACCTCCCAAACACACCCGCACCTTAGGAAAGTAGCTCCTAGATATGTTAATTATTGTAAACAAGGAAAACGTTAATACAAATGAAAGAAAAACCTCTAAAGAAGAATATAAAGAAGCAAAATTAAATCTAAAAGAATTAATAAACCTAGAAAAAGCTTTGAAGCAGTTTTGAGGATGATGTGTTGGGTAAAGGTTACCAAATTCTAACTAATAAATTAAAACTCAAATCAAATGTTACCCTGTAAGAAAACATTCAGCTAAATAAATAAACTGTGTTCTATAAAACCGACAGTTACATGGTCAGAAATACAAATAAGAAGACCATGTGAAGATTCAACACTGGATATGTAGAGCTGGTAACAAAATAAAAAAGTACTCAGAAACAAGTGTAAAAGTAATAAAGACCATTTGATTGACAATTCACTACAAAGTGAGGAACAGCAATATTAGTATTAATCAAGAAGTCTAAAAAAAATCCAAGTACCAACAAGACAAGCTAGAGATAGATTTGTCTTCTTGATATTTCTGACAAGTTACTTGAATCGTTAAATAAATAAAGGCTAGAAAAAGAGATGGTAACAATGTTTTACACGATAACCAATTCGTGTTTTGCGCAGGAAAATCGATTATTGATGCTCAAAAAAAGTGATAGAAATACTAAATAAAAAGAAAATCTTAGCTTAGAAATTATATGCTATGATTTGGTTAAACATTGAAAATTCTTTCAACTCTACCACATGAACAAAAATAAGTAAAGTACTCACCAAACAATAATTCTATCTTAAAAGCTAATCCAATCATATCTATACGATCGTTTCATTGCAACAGTACATGGAAGGAAAAGTGGAGTTCCACAAGCCTAGGTTTTGGGTCTAGTCTTCTGGAATATCCTTTACAACCAAGTACTTCAGATATAAATAAATAAAAATACCAAAATATTTCAACAGGAACAACTCTTAGTAGGTAGATATCGATAGCTTAGGTAACGAAATCAAAAACTGTAACAAATTAAAAATCTGCCATGCGGATCTCATGAACTCCTTAAGAAGAATGTCTGATTTAGACTTACTTGGATACTTCCTGTTTCAAAGCTTAGTCTCATTGATCTATTCCTTAAACTATCTAATTATTAAATTAATTAGGTAAGAAGTGCAGAGAGAAAAAGAAAGATAAAAGGTTCTCATTACATAATCTGTACCAAATATACTTTTAAGTTACTTCAAGAGTCATTCCATATAAGTTTTATTTCACAAGAATGATTGACACATCTCAGATGTCATCCTTGTCATATATAATAATGTAAACGAAACCATTTAAAAGAAAATAAGAAATTCATTTCTAACTTAGTTAGGTAATATAATCTAGATAATTACCATTTTAATGAATCTAGAAGTCGGAGCGATTCATCATCTACCACAGCATCGCTAAAATTAAAGAAACGTTAGTAAACTGTACACATTGCTTTTCAGGATGAGGTAGATAAAGTTTAAAGCATTGCAATTTTTAAATGGTAACTTACTAAAGTGGGCTGTATGCTTCTTCGTCACTCGCGCAAACTGGAGTTTTTCTGAAATATAAGAAAGCGTATAAGCAGAGATCATGATTAATAACATGAATAAAAAAGTTATTTACTGTGGACCGTAAAATCTTGCCAGAACCGAAACGTTGACTGCTTAACCTATCTTAATCGATCGTTGATAAAAATTCAGTTTTAATGACATATTTTCATCTAAAATTTACATCCATTTTAATGTTTCCAAGGTTGTGTCCTCCGACTTTAACTAATTCAATAAAGAAAAACAACAAAATCATAAAGGCATATCTTACAAAACAATACGAGTACTGATTTCCTCTTGAAAAAACTACCTGCTGCTAAACCCGTTCAAGAATGACGTTTTCCTTGATAGTCAAAGTTAAAGTGGTGAAAATAGTTTTCCGTCTGTGCTGTGGATATTTCTTTTGATATAATTAATTTCTAGGAGTAGGTGTTTTCCAGAGGAAAACGGTGGTTCGTATTGTTTTGTGACACATGGCTTTGATATTTTATTGTGTTTCTTTATTTTTGTAGGTTGTGTGTTATACAATGTGCTAACATTTTTAAAGTTTATTTATATTAGAAAATAAATATTTACACACTACAACATCCTTTTGACTACTGCCGAAGTGGGCTGTGAAATCGATGAAATCAATGAATTTAAAAAATTACTGTTTATAGCTTCTTTCGGTAAAGACTGTTTAGGGTCAAATCAATGATTTTGTTTAACGTAGCTGTTATGTAAATTCGGATGATATAAACGTTTACATTTGCAAGATTAGCATCAATATTCTTTTGCACAATGGTTAAATCTGGTCTGACTATGTTTTAAATCAATTATCTGCCTTTTGGTTGTCGGGCAGTGTATCTAACAAATTCACATCAAATTTTGTATCGAGTAATCACTGGGTATTCTCACTATACTATCAAAATTGTCGTGAATTAAGAACAAAAACTGTTCAACTTTTTAATGCCTCAACTATGAATGAATTTTCGGTTATTGGTGTGACGGAGACATGGCTTGATTCGTCGGTAAATAATTCTGAATTATTCTGTGACGTTTACAATTTCTATCGCGCTTATCGAAATTTTCATGCTATGAATTGTTCTCATATCATCTTGTGTTGATATTAGCGCAAATTATTCTTTTAAAAGGCTGGTATCAATTGACATATTAATAGTACTTTTAACTCAGTCTTTTCAATTTTTTATCATAATTATTTATTTTCTTCCAAATTCCTCAAATGTTTATTATGAGTTATTATTTGAAGGACTTGAATCATTAGAAAAGTGGCGATAGAAAACAGTAACAAAGCCTACGCAGAACACGAGGCGAAATAACCTTAGCAGTTGAAGCCGTTGACACACCAAAAAAAAGGCGATTTGTCCGTTTTAAGCCAATTCCGAATTTTAAAAAATCCTTAAAACAGACTCTCCCATTTCTCATAATAGGTTGACATTTACATGAATGCTTACAATTGTTCTAGTAGTTGTTCGTCGTTGAACATAAGTTTGTTTTTATCATTAGTGTGCTTGGAAATAAGAACTAGACAAAAAATAAACAGACAACAAAAACAATTCTTTCACTACAAAACCACTAACTGGAACAAATACAGACAAATAATACAACAAACACTAATAATGAACAACAACATCACAAACACACATAAACTAGAACAAACTACATAAGAGTTCATTAAAGTCGTACAAAAAGCTAGAAACGACTCGACAAAAATAAAAACAACGAAACAACACAAGGATACACTGCCACCTGAAATTACAGAACTTATCACGAACAAAAATCAAATACGTAGAAGGTGGCAGCTACACAGGAATGGCGAAGACAGGGTCCAACTGATGAACATTGCCAAATATATTAACTTAAAAATAAACGAACATCGAAACAATGTCTGGCAAAAGACCCTGTCCGAAGTCAATCCGAAAAGAGACAACTCTTTATGGGGGTTTGTGAAAACGTATAAAAAACCGTACTCGCAACTTCCCACACTAAAACAGGGACAAAACATACACTATGCAGACAACGAGAAAGCTCAAGCCTTCGGCGAACACTTTCAGGAAAATTTTACAAATAACCAACCCAACAACGCTTATCATGACAGAATCACGCGAATTGTCAACGAACTAAGGGTAACGAGGCCGGTTCACGTACCCCACTCCTTTTTCACCTCTCCTAAAGAGATAGGGGAAACAATTAAGTTCCTAAAAACCAGAAAAGCGCCAGGACCTGACGGCATCAGTAACATCCTAATTAAAAACATCCCTAAAAAGGGGGTTGTACAACTTTACTACATTAAAAATGCAATTTTTAGGCTGCAATTCTACCCTAGCTGCCTGAAATATATTGCAAATATAATCCCAATATTGAAATCGGGCAAAAGCCCCAACAGAATTCACAGTTATCGGCCTATCTCGCTGTTTAACACAATTTCAAAAGTAGTAGACAGAATAATTTTTAACAGAGTAAACAAGAAGAAGACTAACTGCGAATTATCCCACAGGAACAGTATGGATTCAGAAGCAGATACAGCACCGTTGCACAGATCATTCGTATTGTTCACTTTGCCAAAGAGGCCGCTAATATCAACAAGCAAACGGTGCTAGTGGCGCTTGATAGCGAAAAAGCTTTCGATTCCGTCTGGACTTGTGGATTAATTCATAAAATGCTTATGAATGACTTTCCGGTTCACATTGTAAAAATAATTTAATCTTACATAACGGACAGACGATTCAACATAAAAATCAACAATACAACCACAGGACCTTACATAGCGCAGTCGGGAGTACCTCAGGGCTCAGTACTATCGCCCCACTTGTACTCCATAATGATCCATGACCATACCAATGGGTCGTCATGGATTACAAACGGCACTGTACGCTGATGACATCTGCATATACAAGAGCAACCATTCAGCCGAACGGGCAGTCAGAAGCCTGGACATCCATATAAACAGGAGGTTAATCCCCTATCTAGTCAAAAACAAATTGAAAATCAACCCGATCAAAACATAAGACATGCTAATTACAAAAAGAAGATTTCGGGGCATACAACTACCCCTAAATATTGAAAATGCAGAGATCGTGATGGGTAAGAGCATAAAATACCTGGGTTTTCTGCTAGATGCGGACTTGACCTTCGATTTACATATCAAAGATAGGGTAGCTAAAAATCATGCTGCCATAAGAACTCTCTACCCTATATTAAGCTGAAAAAGTAAGCTGAGTTACAAAAGAGAACAAACTCCTGCTATATAAAACAATCCTTAGACTCATCATGACATTTGGATGTTCGGTCTTTTGCCTAATGGCCAATTAACATTTTAACAAAGCTCAAAACAGATGTCTTCGGCTAGCTCTGGGGTATGATCGTTATGCCACATAGACGTAATGCACAGACAGACACAAATACCATTAATCGAAGACTACATACTCAATACAGCCGAAAATTTCTACAAGCGGTGCCTTCCTGATAATGTAAGGGATGATATACTTAGCATATACCGGGAAGACAACGTGCGTAGAAAACACGGCTGTATTCACGCAAAACTTGACTTGTACAGAAACATCCTTAACGGTCCGAAACAAACTGAATAATATTTCACACCGACTAGATACTCAAGCTATTTAGTCGAACGGCGGACTGAACGGTGGATCGGCCAACGGTGCAGCAAGCTCGGAACCGAGAATTTTGCGATTGATGCATGGTTGGAAGGCTTATCATTCACTTTGTCTGTGAAATGCACGAACAACCAAAGACTATACCAACGCACACACAAGGATAACCCTGTTTTTTTTTTTTAGCTTTTTTAGCTTTTTTAGCTTTTTTAGCTTTTTTAGGGGACAAATAACCACAACTAAAACGCGACAAATCCTCAACCATTTTCCATTACCGATTCCCAAACAAAACCATAATTCCTCAATATTACCGAACAGATAAGGAGTGAGGGCAGATATATTTACTAATCTGTGAGTCAAACGACTTTTTGTAGGCGGATTTATCCTCCTTGGTTTAAAGACCTGCACGAGAAGTATTTCTAGGACTCGGTAGTGTAAATTGAAATTATTGGATTTGACATGTAGATAATACTTTAATTGTAAATAAAATTTTTGTTATGTTATGTTTTTAACATTATTATATTTAAATCTATTAAATTCATTACTTACATCGTCACTTTTTTTCCAAGTGACTGGTGATGCATGGTGCAGCTTTTGCTTTTAATGTACACACCATCACCAACATCAAAGCAACCGTCTGCTAACGGTTTAGCTGGATATTCACTAGTTACATGTTCGGCTCCAGGTGCTCCTAAATGAGTATCCACCTCTAGAGGATACCTGAAAATTAAATAATTTCTGTTAATATTGTTTATTAAAGATAAAAATTATCTCGGAAATGGTCAAATTATAGAGGGTCTACTCAACGTGTTGTCAAGTGAATAAATAAATTTTTGACAACAGGTTTTATGAATTAGCTTATACGATTATTGATAGTCTTGTTACTACTCGTAAAACCTAAATAAAGGGTGTCCCAATAAGAACTTGAATTTTGAATCGCGCGCCATTTCCGTCTGTCAAACATCAAGTGGGCCATACTAGGCATGTGTTCTGTCAAAACATTGACATTTACGAAAATGCCGCTTTACACTCTTAAAGTTTATTAATTGTGAAGACCCATTACACAGAAATGGAGAAAATTTTACAATGACAATGCGCAGGTTACGTGAACATTTCGGTGTAGATAATCGTCCATCGCGGCCCGGTATCAACAAATTTGAGCGTTCATTTGCATTAAACGACGAGACAAGTGTTAGATGTCGTCGTCTAGGAAAGTCTGCTGAAAACACCGCCGCCGTGAAAGCCAATGTTAACGAACATCTAAACACTTTCATCCGACATCGCGGCCAGGAATTAAATATCAGTCGCAGTACATGACAAAAAATGTTGACGAGGGATTTGCATCTTCATCCTTACAAAATACACTTGAAGCAAAAGCTGAAGCCAGCCGGATCATAGACAGCGCAGATACTTTGCGAATTGGATATTGGAACAATATTAAGCAATAAACGTGAAGAAAATTAAATAGAAGTAAAATGGAAAGTCATTAGAGAAAGCATAAAAGTAGCAGCAGAAGAAAACATTGGAGTTGCACAGAAAAAGTAAAAAAAGAATGGTACAATGAAAAATGTAGTGAAGCAATAACAAAAAAGGTACAAGGAAGAATCAAATGGCTGAGAACAAATAACATAGAAGATAAAATGACCTATGAAGAACTAAGAAAACAAACCAAAAAACTAATAAGAAAAAGTAAAACTAAACAAGAAAGAAGTAAGACTATTACAAGAAAATTAAAGAACAGAACAAAATATACTAAGGCAAAACAAAAGGAATAAAAAAGGACAAGTAATACTGAAAGATGAAGATGAAGAATACAAGCAGGTGTGGATAGATTACTTTAAAGATCTTTAAATCGATCCGGAGATGGAAGAAAGCGACATTATTGCTGACCCAACAAGAAAAGAGCTAGAAAAGCTCATTGGGAAAAATGCAAATGGGAAATCACCAGGAAAAGATGGAATTAACATCGAACTCATTAAATATGGAGGCAACGAATTGAAAAAGGAACTATTATCTTTATTTCAGAAAATATGGAAAAGGAAAAGATACGGAAAGAGTGGGAAATAGGAGAGGTGAAAACAATCCATAAAAAGGTGACCAACAAATATGTCAAAATTACAGAGAAATTACACTTCTTAATACAGCTTACAAAACACTTTCAGCAATAATACAATGACGGCTAACGCAAACAATAAAAAAGGTGATACCAATGGTACAGGATAGGGAAAAATGGAGGGATATTGTAGAGAGTATTATCTGACAGAATGGGATTGATCCTCCCAAAATGCATTCCACAACAAAATTATCTTTACTGATGAAGCGCACTTCAATTCGAACGGCTTTGTGAATAAACAGAACTGTCGGATTTGAGAGGAAAAGCATTCATATGCCGTGCACAAGCTTCTAATGCATCCTGAAAAACTGACAGTTTGGTGCGCCATTTGGGTAGGAGGGATCATCGGACCTAATTTTTTTCAATAATGTAGGTGTCTCCGTGACTGTTAATGGTCATCGCTACCGTAGCATGTTGAGAGACTTTCTTTGGCTGGAACTGAATGGAATAGACATAAATAACTCGTGGTTTAAACAGGACGGTGCGACCTGCTACATCGCATGCGAAACAATGGCGTCACTGCAAAAAAAGTTCCCAGGTTGTGTCATCTTTCGATTTTAAGACCAAAACTGGCCGCCGAGAAGTTGCGATTTGACGCACTTAGACTATTTCCTCTGGGGGTATTTAAAAAGTAGGGTGTATAGAAACCATCCTGAGAGGATCCGACAACTGAAGCAAGAAATCAAACGTAATATTCGTGAAATCCAGCCCATTTTCCTAGAAACCATCTTCTAAAATTTCATCAAACGAATATACACCTGTCAACGGAACCGCGGTCGCCAGTTGACAAATATTTTGTTTCATGTTTAATGTCAACATTTTCCCTTGAAAATCCAATAAATTATTTGCATTTTTTTTAATTACTGTGTTTTCTTTGTCATTAAAAATTCAAGTTCTTCTTGGGACACCCTTTATATGATAAGTTTAGAATTATCTTAATCTTCTATATCCATATAAGCGAAATGCCACTGACTGACTTATCACGAGATCTGCAAAACTATAAGCCTGCTTGACTTGGAATTTTACTGGGTTACTCCTTTCTCGGCGTAGAGACCCACTAATGCCGCGTTTGAGAATCCACATCGGATGCATTTTTTACATCTCGAGCGTTTTTTTATCCACATCGGACACATCTGTCCCATTACATTTACGTATACTGAATCACGTGATTTTTTACATCTCAGATACATCCGATGTGGATTCTCAAGCTTTGTTCCAACACACACACAAACCGTAATATTACGGTCATCGTCATGCGCAGTAAATAAAAACTTATCAATAAAGCCCAAAGTCGAACGGTTTTTATTTACTGCGCATGACGATGACCATAATATTACGGTTTGTGTGTGTGTTGGAACAAAGCTTCAAACGCAGCATAAGAACAAATCTTATGCAACGACAACCCCAAGGGGTAAACACTTCTTAGAATAATAAAATAGTTATTTTATCAAAGAAAAAATAAATTATCACTTTAAATTCATTATACATGTTTTAAATAGTATTATTTACCCACTGTAAAATTATAAAATGTTATCGACAACACTAAGAGGTACACGGCCCTTAAAATATTAAAATAATTATGTTGTCAAAGAAAATTCGTTATTACTTTAAAATTTATTTAATTTATTTAACATGTTTCTAGGAGTAGTAGTATAAAACCACTGTAAAAATATAAATTGTTATCGACAACCACAAGGAATAATCAGTCCAAATAATATTAAAACAATTATTTTAGCAAATAAGGAAATTATTTATTACTTTAAAATTCATTTAAAATGTTTTTAGTAGTAGTATATACATGGGCGTCGTTACACAATTCTCTAGGGAGGGGCAAAATTTTGAAAAAATTTAGAATGTTTATTTGTTGGAAAACAAAGGAAATGAAAAATATAAGAGAATTATCTTATAAATTTAATTATTCTGTGCGCGAGCGTAAATCACGAAACGTCGGCAGGGTGCGCCATCTTTCCACCTACATCATAAGATCACGCTACGCTCGTTCCACCCACCCACAGAACAATTACTTTTAGAATGGAAACTGCAATGTTAAAATTTGCGACAGTTTTGTAACACCCGGTGGGCGTTCTTTGAACTATTTGGCGGAAGTGGCGCCATCTCGCGGTCACTTTAGTTAATACAAAACGCGGGAACATTCAAAATGGTCCTTCAATATTTAGTTTAAAAGTGGTAGTCAAATTAAGATTTGTTCATACCAACTCCTTTTTTACGTTTATTGTAGCAATAAAATTATATTTGTTACAATAAAGCAAAAAATGAGTAGTATGAACCAATATTAACTTGACTACAAGCTGAAATATTTTTACAAAAAATTAAAAAGCATGATCAACAAAATTAATTTATTAAAACAAAAAAAACATACAAAATAGAATAATTAAATGTAGCGTGTTAATTAGCTGGAAAGTTAAGTCATTGTCTACAGAGGTTGAAGAGTTTTATCTAAAACAAAAAATAAATATTAATTAACTTATAAATCAAGAAGGGTACAGGAACAAAAAAGCAGCTAAGCCACATTTTTATCAAAATTGAACTGGTCCGCCCTATTTTGTAAATTACCAGTATTAGCAAATGCAAAACAGTGCATTTAAAATTATGTCCAAGGACTTTCCTACTGTTTGTTTGTCATTTTTAGTATTTAGAATAAAAAATTACAACTGTCTGGTAAATTAAGTGGTAAAGTACAATATAATCAGGCAACATTTAAACAAAGTAACATCTTTTTGTAATCAATTACCTTAAAGTATCAAAAGTTTGTATTTAGTCAGTCTAAATTAAATTTGTTTTTCTGAACATTTTGGTAATTAATTGTGACTAGGCCCCTTTTTTTCCTGAACCCTTCAAATCTATTGGGGAGCACAGAAAGTGAGGCATAAATAAAAAAAGGTATACTGATCATTACTTCCCGGACTATGCTATTTTGTCTTCCACAATCCAATATTGCCATTCCAAACGGCTTGAAGAAAGTTTGTACTAGAACAAATAAAAAAACAGTAAAAGTAACAATCTGAACTAAATCAATATAAAAATCAGATGTGAGGCATGAATACAAAAAGTACAGTGACTATTACTTCCCTGACTAGGCTGTTTTTGTCTTCAACGATGCAATACTACTGCCACTCCAAACGGCTTGAAAAAGTTTGTACTAGAACAAATAAAAATACAGTTAGATCGCTGCGTGCTCCAAGAACTTTAAACATATCTTCACATACTAAATAGTTTTTACAAATTTGTTGTTTTATTCTTGAAAAATGGACTGGGAACACCCAATACTCAAATTTGAAATAAATCGTTATTAGGATTTCAGAGTGTTTACAAAACAATTTGGCATACAACAATACGATATATTACAGCTTTTGTAACTAAAAATGACCACAAAAATTTAAAATAAGCTTAATCGTCAGCAAGATCAAGTAAACAAATTGAACATTTAAAACACAATTGAACAAGACCAAGTTGACAATACAATAAACAATTATTTACAAAATACTTACTATTTATTCATCCAGGATCCAGAGCACACCCAAATACAAACAAATAATAATTATTGACAATATGATATTGATAAACACAAAAATACAGGTAAAATGGCAAATGTCATTCACCGCGAGGTAATCGATAATGGATGCCTGACAATTGACAAATGACACTCCCACTCTTTCCACCATCAATTGTAGATTTCTGTAAATTGTTGTGTACAGCGCCATCTAGAATCTGTTCCTTGAAACAAAAATATAGTTTCAGCTCGGGCTATACCAGTTACCGATACCTGCACCCACCTACTAACCACTAATTGGCAACTACGCATTTCATCACTAGGAGATTTGGGTTTTTATTTAGTCGTTGACATGACAAGCGTTTCCATGGCAACAGTTTTTCCATAACTGATTTCGGCTAAACTAAAGTGAACATTAAATGATCTATAAATTCCAAATCTTTATAGAGGATGATCTTCTACAAAAATAAAATCTGTTTTTAATTGTAGATGGATAATACTAAAAATCTGACAGTAGTTTTCAATTCTAATCAACTTCTATTAACATTTTTCGACCTTTCTAAAAATAAAGGTAATTAATTTACTTTATATTTTTCGACAAACCTCGTTCATGACTAAAAAAATTATATTTGATGAATGTATTTTAAGTTTAAGTTAACCATATTGAACTTTTTTTCATAAAACTATTAATAAAGTTTTCTATATAATAATGACTTAAGTATATGATTTTAAATAGTAAGAAATGTTCCTATAAACTAAACTAACCTTCGGTCCGGCAAACGATGTTCCTCTGTATGTGTATCTGGTTTGTTCGAATATACTACATCTTCAGACAACTTTCCTTTGTCCCAAGTTCCTTCAATTCTATGTCCATTGGGATATATTAATGTGCCGTGTCCATGAAACTGGCCATTCTGGTTGAATTGTCCATCGTATATTACACCTACAGACATGAATAATAAATTTAAAAAAAAATTATATTTATTTGTCACCAAAGTGTAGCGTGATGAATAATTTACGAACAAAAGTTCGTTATTCAAATTTTATAAATTAGTGAGTCATAAATCCAACTCTTTAGTGATTTTCTTTTTTTTTTAGTAGTACACCCTTTAAAATACATTAATTCGTATGTAGCCTGTTGGCACTACAGCCTGCGGCTTATTATACCATTATTGTAAGGTCCTTGTAGTTTCCCTTTCACCAAATTACTCCCTCATTCACTGTCATTCTTTCCACGTTGTCGGTGGTTAAACGCCAGTCGGCTAAGCCTCATGGTGACACGACCCATATTGGATCATCCCAGCATTACTGGATGTGGATGTACACTAATCCCGCGGCTAGTCTCTCGGCTATCAATTAATAATTAGTCGTTAAAATAATAAAAATTTATAGTTATTCTTTAGTGGATTGTAGCAAAATATACTGCATACTTGTGTTAGTATCATCTAGTTTTAAAAACTAGAACAAACGAGAAATGTTCTCTTTTCTGTGAGCCTATCTAGTAGGCGATATTTTTGCAAAAAAAATTGTCTAAAATTTCAATCTAGTAGTTATTTATAAGGGTAGTTAGTCACAGTTGTCAAATATACCTAATTGCCTCTAAGTTACATAAGTTTAAAATGAGGCCTATCAACGCAAAACTTGTCATATCTATTTTGGGTAATTTTGCATAAAAAGCTGAAAACCTTTATGGCGGTTTACTAAACGGACAAAACAAAAACAAAACACAAACTTGTGTCGAGAAAGTCAAAACTGCAACTTTTCTCAAACTTTTTAAAGAGTTTTGTTTCTTGAGTCCCACTCATAAGCTGTAACATCAAAAGGTTCAGACGTGCTTTGAAACTCGAGTCTGCTTACTGGAAACGATTGTAATGTGTAGTCTAAATTTTGTTCCAAATTAATACCTATAGGTAAGTAAATAATATTAGATAGATATAGATAACTAATTAGTAATAATTTATTTTGAAACGCTGGATAGGTTAAGTTTTTAATATTGTCCATTTTAGGTTTTGATGACACATATCTTTAAACTACTTTTATATGTATTTTAAATTTGGACCTACTTTAAAAAATAAATAGATATATAAATATAAATAAAATAATAAAAAAATGTGTTCCGACTTCCTCGCAACAAACAGTGGAAAATAATTAAAAACAAAAACAAAACTGTAACAAAATGTAGTCCGTTTGATGGATATAATAGTTTTGGGTTTGTCTCAGTTTTGTCTTTGATTTTCAAGTTCCAGAAAACACAAACAAAACATAAACTCAACTGTCCGTTTAGTGGAAAACCGTCTTTATACTGATTATTTTTTGGTTTTTATTTTGACAAATTAATACCTATAACATTAAAAAGAATGATAGGGTGTTTTGTTATTAGAAGTGAAAATCATCATAATAGTTTTAAAAAGCAATAATAATTTGGATAAGACAAGTATTGCAGTGTCACCTTGGATTTGACAAGTTATGCAGTGATATGGATGGGATAAGGCAAGTTTTGCAACATAAAAAAAATTTCACATTTATTTTGAAGAAACGTTATAATGTTATATAAAATATTAGATTCTTGGATAGATATCCTCTTCTGGCGTTCTTGGTTTACAACAATTTTCCTTGAGCTCGTCGATGGTATCTTGAGTAACACCTGCTTGACTGATGTGTGATAAGAGTATTATAAATAACGATAAGTCTTTTCTGTCTTTCCATTCTACTCCGAAATGTTAAATTAGCGATTTGTTGACATCAACTAGCTTTGCTGGTTTTACTGTAACGCCCGGAATAATCTAAGCAGAAAAATGCTCGAGCTTTTTCCCTTTTTTTAAAACTGTTTTGTCTGTTGCGGTATTTGAATTATAACAAAGTTCCCACATACTGCAACATTTCCATTTTTGTTTTCTATAAATATGATTCTCTTGGAAAGTGAAAACTAAAAGTGCTATGATACAACGGGTTTAAAAAACTCTCTAACCCTGGATTTCCAATCCATCAGTGGATAGTCCTTTTCCAAGATAGCAATAGTTTCATGTTTTTTTAAAATATCCAGGTAAGTTTTGAATCGGTCTTTGTTCATGACCAGGTGGGGTATACCTGTACCCAAAAGTTTTTCTGTCAGTTAAATAGACAATAAATGCATTTAAAAAGTTAACTAAATTGAAATCTAAAGTTTAAATGAGTTTTATTTATTGTAATATTATAAAAAAATCTGATGTGTCCAACACATGACTTTCCTATCTAGTTATTACAGGCTTTTTCCGGTTATTTTATATAACCTATTGCAGCACCTCTATAAAAGTTTAGAGGATAAAATAAATATATACATTTTCCACATACATCTACCTCGAAACATTTTTCTATAGATATTCATTGAAAATGAAAATACTAAAAAATTTAAATTTAGCACTTTTCCTACAATTTTTCCATTACGGTCCATTTTAGAAAAATTATGTATAAACAAAAATTATAGAGATTGATATCGCAAACAACTTTTCTTTCAACAATTTTCATAAAAATCGGAATTTCGCACATTTTCTCAAATTTCTCGAATACGGACCATTTCAGGAAATTTTGACATGAAGCAAAAATTATAGATAATAATATTAGAAATAACTTTTATTTGAACAATTTTTTTCTCCAAACATAAATAACAGATATATTCCATAAAATATAAAAACGGCCCCCCATAAAGTACCCCCCCCAGATGTTCCGACTTTGTCCAAAATCTATTCATTTCACGTCAGGCCGAAATAAAACTTAAGTTTAAAATTTAATGTTTTTTTCTTTATCCGTTTTTGAGTTTTCTTCAAATTTCGAAATTTACACATTTTCTCAAATATCTCGAATACGGTCCATTTTAGAGAAATTATGTATAGGATAAAAATTATATAGAATTATATTACAAACAACTTTTTTTTTAACAATTTTTATAAAAAAATATTTTTTTTACATTTTGTCAAATTTCTCGAATACGGACCATTTTAGGAAAATTTTGTATAGAACAAAAATTTTAGATAATAATATAAGAAGTATTTTTATTTAAAGAATTTTCTTCCACAAACGTAAATAACATATATTCCATAAAATATAAAAATGACCACCCATACAGTACCCCCCCAGATTTTCCGACACTGCCCAAAATCTAATCAGCACATTGGACGCTGGAACAAAGCTTAAGTTTAAAATTTGGTGTTTTTCTGTGTATCGGTTCATGAGTTATGCGACACACAGACACACAGACACACAGACATCATCGCGAAAATAGTCAAAACGGATTCAGGAGACCTCAAAACGTAAAAATCAGTCGAAAACTCGAGGTCGAAAAAAATCATGATTCCTATACTTTCCTTATATCTGTATACAGATAGGAAAGTAAAAATGTAATTACTGACATTTATTACAAATGTAGTGAGCTTTTGAATGCTCTTTGCAGACGTTTTTATTGCACTTAAAGCACCGATTCAGACTCTTCTTATTTTTTTTCTGTCACAAAGATCAGGATTTACGGGTTCTTCAGTAACTTGTTCCGGGACGACAAATTCCATGTTTCTCTTAATGTTCAATTGCAAATTTGTATTGGTGGTATACCTTCGTATTATGTTCCTCTTCCCCAATTCCTTTTCCAACTCTAATAAAAAGATTCTTCTAATATCCAGGTTCCCCTTTTCCCAATCTGTGAATTTATTCATCCAGTGTTTAAAGGAGTTGATTCCACCAATATCTAGAAGATGGTAAAACATTGCCATTGGCCAACGGTTTGATTTTCGTTGGGTCATGTACTCTTTCGCCAATTTATCGCTGGTGTCTACAGCACCTTAAGTCTTATTATAATGTAAAATAATGTGGGGTTTATGGTTAACATTTTCTTCTACAATTTGGTCGTCTTTGTGCTCAGTAGATAACAGAATGATAGCACCTTTTTTTTTCGGGACATACGAAACCATAGTTTTATCTCTCATAAATGCCAATATACTTGAGACTTCTTTTTTATATGTAACAGGAAGCTACTTCGGTATATACGTTTTGTTTTTTGTTGAAGTACCACATAATGTAAGATTCTTCTGTAGATGTTTATCAGCTAATTCTAAACTTGTAAAGAAGTTGTCTGTAGTTATTCCGTGGCCTTGAGGTAAATGTTCCACCAAGTCCAGAACAACTCTTTGACCCTGACCCTTTTCAGCTATGTTGCCTACAATACCTATAAAAAGATATGACCGTAAAAACGTGTATTTAGAGTGCAACGTAAAATAAACTTACCTAAATATACTTGCATATTGACGGTATACGCTGTAGAACAATTTGCCAGTGCCCCAATTTTTAAAACATATTTGTCAGGTTCACTCTTTATGTATACTCTAAATGGAGCTGTCCCACGAAAAGTAACTAACTGTTCATCGACACATAAGTGCTTCCCTGGATTGTATGCATTTTTGCAGTTATTGACGAAATTATCAAAAAAAATCTCGGATTGGGGCCAATTTGTCCGTTGCTCTCCTTTCTGCTCTAGTCTCGAAGTTATCAAAACGTAGAAAGCATAACATCTGCTTGAATCTATTTCGAGACATTACAGCGGATTTTACTGGTCGACAAAATACAGGATCCTGGCTCCAAAGCATTGTAAGAGGCTCCTTTGATCTATGAAAAGCCCATAAAATACACAATAGACCGACAAAAGCTTCAATTTCTTTTTCTACAATAGGCACAAATTGTACATTTTAATTTTTATACCATGCTTGTGCTTTTCTGTTTGTTTCAGTGATTATTGTATTTTTCATTTCCTCATCAAAAAATACACAGAAGGCCTCTCTTCTGCTAGTGAAACTTGAACTGTAGGACGTTAGTCCTGCTGCTATCTTTTGAATATTATGTTTTGCCTGTTTGATGCGTAAGTTATACGGAGTTTTAAACCACAAAGTTCTATCTTTCGCTTTATATACATGTTAAACACATCGGTAGTTCCGGCCGAATCCTCCAAATCATTGCTTTCAGGATATTCGTTGTCTCTTATGAGGTAAGGTAAGGTAAGTTCTGTTTATAAATACGAGTCGAACTTGGGTAAGTCGTCCTTGAACTAAAATTGAAGTTCGGTTATATCGCGTGAATTTAGAGATGGGTAGTAACAAATCTGTAAATCTACATAACAGTTACAGATTTGGTAATATCAATCTCTAAATTCCAGTCTAACATCAGAACCATCTAGAACTTTAGAGACGTTGTAACCGAACTTCGATTTTAGTTCAAGGACGACTTACCCAAGTCCGACTCAGGTAAGTTCTGTTTATAAATACGGACCTAAAGCAACTAACAAATTAAAAAGAGGTACATACTTAAAAATTTTTGTAAATATTTATGTATGTAACAACAGAACATAATACATAAAAACAATGATAAATACATCTATTCACTTTGAAATTTGAAGTAGTAAACAAAAGGTGCACACCTACCCTTAAACTTTACTTTTGTAACCTCAATTTGTTTTATGTTTTTACAAATTTTGACATGACACACATGACTAAGAAAAAGAAGACTCTGGGACCTGGCACTAAATAGATAGAGATGGTGAAAAACTGAGCACATACAACTAATGAAGAAGACAAAGAAAAAAGAAAAAAATGAATAGCGACGCCGTAACCGTAAACAGATTGCCAAAATAATAATTTACAGTTTTCTTTTTTATTTTATTAGCTGTTATAAAAACTTATAGATGGTGCAAAGATCTTCCAATGACCTTGCAACTTCAAGATGTCTTCCGTAGAATTCATCTATTGGAAGCAGATCATCCAACCATTTGGAAATGTCTTGCATCAGGTACTGAAAGGTCAAGATTTATATTTCAAGCAATTTGTGACGGGCAATGACAATCTCTCACCATTGAAGTTAAAAAAATACAGGGATGCAGATGAATGCATTTTACGGCTTGTTCAAAATTTTTAAGTAAATGGGGATATTTTAGAATATCTAAGAGGACTTGCTAATAACATGTAATTTCGTAAATAAGTTTAATAACATTTTATTTTAGTCTTCCTTTCGACACGAAAACAGTTTTATAATAAACATAATTATAATAAATATAACAATTATTTAAAATTTATAAAAATTATATTAGGTTTGCCAAAACTTCCAACGTCTAAATGGCCAGCGTCGAAATGGCCATCGTCCAAACGGCCACGCCAAAACGGCTACGCCAAAACGGACACGCCAAAACGGCCACGCCGAATTGGCCACGCCGAAACGTCCCATTCCCAAAAATTTATTAGATCTCCGAAGAAAACCGTATCAACGCCGAATGATACAAGGTTCATCCGACACAAATCGCGACTATTACACTAAATTTCCGTTGAAAACTGTTTTTACTACAAATAGTACAAAAACACTTAAATTATCAATTGTATTTTCTAAAATGTCTCGAAGAAAACCGTAATAATTTAAAATGGTACACTTTTTCGCAGAAATAATTCCAACAGTAGGTATGTATTATGAAGAAAAGAGATATAACTACAAATGTTACACTTTTCCGGGGAAAAAGTAAACTTATATTTATTAGCCTTTTAACCGAAAACGTAATAACTACAAATGTTACACTTTTCCACAAGAGCGACACGAATTAACCTGTAACAATCCATTAATAGTAGTTTTCTGCAGAACCCAACACCAAACGTGTTTCGACGCCCTCTACCCAAAAATATTGGAATTATCTTTGTTACAGTTTTCTTTGAAGATAGATTGTTGTTTTTACTACTCATTCGTAAAACAAACTGATTTTTAGAATTTTTGGAGTTATTACACTTTTCTTCGGGATGTGCGATTGGTCAGGTGGATACCGCGTGTTATGCTTTGGTATTAGAAGTCTAATTAACATTAATCTATAATACTATCACAAACATACTGTGAATAGTAAAACAACATAATTATCGCGACTTTTTTTAGAAAGCCATGTATTTTTACTTTCCTATCTCATAACTCATGAACCGATACCCAAAAAAACACCAAATTTTAAACTTAATCTTTATTCCAGCGTCCAATGACTGATTAGATTTTGGGCAGAGCCGTAACATCTGGGGGGGGGGGGGTACTTTATAGGTGGTTATTTTTATATTTTATGGAATATATCTGTTATTTATGTTTGGAGAATAAAAGTTACTTCTAATTATATTACCTATAATTTTTGCTTTATGTCAAAATTTGCTGAAATGGACCGTATTCGAGAAATTTGACAAAAGTGCAAAATTCTGATTTTTATGAAAACTGTTGAACTAAAATTTATTTGCGATATCGATCTCTATAATTTTTGTTTTTACATTTTTATAAAATGGATCGTAATAGAAAAATTGTAGGAAATTTAAATTTTTCAGTATTTTCGTTTTCAATGAATATCTATAGAAAAATGTTTCGAGGTAGATGTATGTGAAAAATGTATATATTAAGCCTATAATAACTAGATAGGAAAGTCATGTGTTGGACACATCAGATTTTTTATACTAAAAACACGACTTCATGCGTGCGAAGCTAGTACTTAAATAAAATATAAATAAATATTTTTTTATATAAACTGTGATTTACTTTGCTAGGCTCAAGGGTAAGAGAACATCCTTCTTATATTTCTAGGCTATAGAAAATAAAAATGTAAAGAAACTGTTAACTATTTAGAAATGTTTACTATATTTGAGGTTGAAAATGATTAATGTAAGAGTAAGGTAGCTAGTATTTTACACACCATGAGGATATTTGTAAATTCCCTTTCCTGCAAAACCCAACGCATTCCACTCTCCAGCGTAACAAGTACCATCAAAAAAGCATTTCACATTCTTTTTGTTACTTTCGTAGCCCATATAATTACTGACATTACTGAGAGAAACCTTAGATGGTATTGTTTGTGATTGTTTAACGATGTCGATTGTTATTCGTGGACCATTAAACATTGGGCTAAAAACAAATGGTGGTATATTAAACAAAATAAAATCTTAATAGTTATGATTATTTTACAACCATGAAAAAGGTTGCCACATATACAAAGAATAATATTTTGAGCAAGAGGTTTGCTTAAGTTTTCTTTTCCTCCTTTTATCTTAGAACATTTAGTTTATATGATATTCTAGGCAGGATAATATGTGATTTGTTCAGTAGATCTTTTAACTTATTTAGTAAACCAATAAAGTTGGGTAGTGGCTGTCTTATATCACTGCGAGTTAAATCCGATAGAATTGATATGGGCAAAAATAAATGAGGTGGCAGCTAAAAACACAACGAATCTTCTGATGTAGAATAAAATATTGAGTACTTTGTATTTTTTGTTTCTGTTTCAATGTAAATGTGAAAATGTACTTTGTCTTTTCACTTATTATGTTGTATAGGCACTTCTTATGCATTTTTTGTTTTTTTTTTTCAAACATTAATAATTAAAATATTATTGCAAATTTACAAAATACACTTTGGATACAAAGGAAAACACCTATAGTGTACCTGACGCATCATGTAGGATGGCGTGTCGTGGCACTGCATAGTGTCAGAACAATGTGTCTTCGCCTTTAGGATTTCTCTGTTCATAAGAAGCGTAAGCTTTATGTATCTATAAGGTGAGGGCAGGTGGGTTGCCACTTATGACTTAGGCTTTATTAGGCCCATTGTTCATTCTCTAGTCTAGGAGCATATAGAAGCTGCTTATCAGCTGGATAACAGAGTCATCAAGAGGAGTCTAGAGTATGTTTCTCAACTCATCAAAGTCCTGCAAGCTAATAACCTCACAAATAGGTGTTGTTAGATACCCCCATTTTGTCCCAGATTTTAGTTGACCAGAAGTGGTCATTTAGTGGTTTGAACAGTCCACATGGTAGATGCAGAAAATATTAGTTTAATTCTTATGAGCTCAAGAGCCTTTTCTGACTTATAAAGGGCTCTCACACTTTTTGATGATTTTGATAACAGCACAACTACATTTTATTTAGAGAAAAATATGGATATACCAATATCCGAAAATTACAAGTTCTAACTTTTTAAAACTATGAGCTTGTGTTTTTTGAATCATTGCTCTTTTGAGAAACGTAATCACATATATTTAAGTACCTATTTAAAAACTATTTCACCACACAATAGACTTTTGGATGAATACCTTCACCTAAAATCATATTTACCTGTAATAATTTGGAAGTTTCTCTATAGATGCCGAATTTGCACTAAATATTTGCGGACCATCGTAATTCCAATGGTTTGTAGTTTTGGTAGAAAATTTCGGAGTTTTAGTGAGAAAACGACAATAGTTATTTAAACCAGCCGTTATTTTCTTATGTAAGACTTCTATCGGTATATCTTCTTTCGTGCTAATCCTTGATACCGCTTGTGTGTTCACTAAAAAACTTTCCATCCTCCAAAGTCGTTCTATAAAAAATATAAGATAGTATATATATATAGTATATATTATGCTAAAGATTATATGGTAAATATTTTAAAGACGCCCTTTTCTTAAAAATACAATTTTTTTACAAAACTTACATTTTAGGCTTTAGGAAGGAGAGTTAGTATTTTTCAAATATACCACCGGGAACCCTATAAATTAACGTTTTTTTAAAACATTTTTATATATTAAGAGGTTATGAGAATCATTAAGTGATCATTTATGTAAACTAATATAACAGAATTTATAATTATATGTTATGCTGTCAATACAAAAATAAGCGGCATTGCCAAATGTCCAATTAAAATCAATGAAAAAGAAATATAAAAAAGTACCCTGATTTTGACATAACATTTCCATACACTTTAAAAAGCACTTGTATTAATTTATTTCCAGTCACATACGACGATTTAGTTATCCATTTTGATTGAATTGTTGTAGTACGTATTAATTAAATAATAATATTACATCATCTACAAGGTGGCGCAAAATCAAGTACCCTATGGAGTGTTTTCATGGTTTCGTTTGTAATTGACATCAGGGGCCCAATTCTCGAAACATGCGTTAACTGCCGCATGCGCTAAGTAACGCATGGTCGTTAACGCATACGACAGCAATTTAGTATTCCTGAACACCATGCGATAATCGCGAATCAAGTCGAACGTGTTAACGAAGAGTCTTTGATTATTGCATAGTCTTAACCAATGAGGATTGAGAATACCAAAGATGGTATCACTGAATATGAGATAATTGCATTGACACATGTCAAAATTGCCAAAAATTAAAAAATTAAATGGTTTGGATGTCTAATAATTTTTTGTTTTTAGACGTTTTAACTGTGATTATTTGTATTTTGGACTTGAGAATTGGAGTGGTTCAGATTTAGAATATTAAAAATGGAACAGCGTGGTTCACGAATAACGGAAAAATTGCGTGAAACTTTAGTAGAATTTATAACATTGTTTAGTGCCTGTGAAACTCATATTTCTTCTATATCATCCATACTAAATAAAATAAACCAAAATAAAGTGGCACCTAAACGTCCAATAAAAGAGTTCACGGTACAAAAAGTTTCATTTTTATATTCTAATAAAATGTTCAATAGAGTCAAATTAAAAATAAATATTTCCCAATAATAAATCACAAAACAAACCCAATAGATAGAAACACGAATCACATATGATAAAGCAGGATTAATTGACAATTATAACCTTACTTTCACCTAAACGAATGCGACAAAGTACTTGTCGAACGGTCATGAGCGCTCTTTGAAAATCATCATTTCTTAGCGCATAAGTTAATAAATTTGACGAATGCCGCCAGTTCAGGAATACACTTTCATCAAGTCGCATACGTTATCGCATGCGATAAGTTAACGAAGGCGTCAGGAATTGGGCCCCTGTTCGAGTTTTTCTGTCAGTTGCAAAGTAGATACTTGGGAAATTCTTTGTGAATCGATATACGCCTCGAGAACGTGCCGAAATCGTTAAATTTTTTCATCAAAATAATTCGTCAATTATCCTAGCTTAACACTCTGACTGCCATTTCAGTCTTTTTTGACTGACAAGAGTTTCACTGCTGAGGGCGCGGCTATTTTATATGTTCACGCATCTCCAGGCCACGCGTTGTTTTTAGTGGTGGGGGTACGGTAATACATTGGACCACACGTGCTCAGTATTTATTTAAGTGCTAAGCACGTAGTTTATATTTATTTGTGTTTCCAAAAACGACTGACACGGCGTGGAACTGCAAATTATTTTATAGTGACTGATGTTCGTAACAGTGGTTTTTCCTAATTCTCATAATATTGGCCGAGAATAACAAAACGCCGAGAAGCGACAGCTTTGTCGGAACGTTTGATGTTTGTGGGATCGATTTGCGGTGACCTTGAAGACACCATAATTACACTGCACGCAAGCTGAATTGGCACGCAGTCACGCGATCGCGCGGAAATTTGTAATTTACACTGCTCAACTCTAAATATGTTTTTAGTAAGGGAGTACATTTTTAATTTTGCATTTAAAATTATATGCCTTTGACTGCAAAAAGACTCATTCCCCTGCCATTTTTGGAATCACATTCAAGAACTATACAATAAGATCCAACCATTTTGTTACGAAATTATCCAGAAAACACAATAAAAGTCACACAGTAATAACTGAAAGAAATAATTCAAAATAGTCGAAACTACAGTTGTTGCGCTCGGATTAAAATCACAGGACACCTTCGTATACGGTGTCGCGCTGATCTAGTTGGCCACATGCAAATAGACACCATATTTTCGATCATGCGCCTTCGAAAACCGACCCGGCAGGAAAGGGTCTTTGTCGCTTCTCGGCGTTTGGTTATTTTCGGATATAGGTATTGTTTTTTTTTAAGAATATATGTCTTGTTGGATGAGGGGTATGTGGATGTCTATATCTGATAAAAAAATAAGGTAACAAAATGAAATATTCTATTTTATTAGTTTTTTTTTTAGGAGTTGGAATTTGAGAAAGACGCTCTCCTCTCAAGAACTTCAATAAAAAGTGGAAAATCTATCCCAAGAGGAGTTCAGGGACTTTTCGGACTTCTCGGACATTGTTCCCGATTATAACAATTCTGACAGCGATTTGAGTGGAACATCCAGTGATGTTTCCAATAGGGAGTCGAGTTCATCAGATAATCCAGAGGTAACAGAGAATGAAGATGATGAAAACGATACTGTGCCAGATCTTTCAAGTAATCAATTTAAGTTTTTTTGGCGCGACTATTCTGAAAATCATCAAACATTTCGATTTACCGGAAATAAAGGTATTCAAGTAGATTTAGCAGAAAATCTGACACCCGTTGATGCATTTGATCTAGTTTTTTTCTCTTGCGCTATGCGGCGTATGTAAGTTCTAATACAAATGTAACGCCCAAATCAAGACTAAATCAGTGGTACCCTACAAATGAACAAGAAATACGTAAATTTGTTGATTTTTATATCTGGATGAGATTGAATAGTCGTCCGACTATAGCATTATATTGGTCAACCGATGTACTATACAAAAATCAAGTGTCTCAAGTATTTTCAAAAAATCGTTTTGAAATGTTATTGAGGATGATTTACTTTAGTGACAGAAAATCAGCCAAATAATGATAGGCTTTACAAAATCAGACCTGTTCTTGATATGCTGAACAATTTATTTCAGCAGACTCATATCGTGGGACAAGAAATGATCATAGATGAACGTATGATACGATGGAGAGGCAGACTAAAGTTCAGTCAGTATATACCATCTAAGAGTCACAAATATGGGGTAAAACTTTTTAAGTTATGCAGTCCAAACGGTTATACATGGAAATGTCAAATTTTTACCGGCCGAACTGATGAACAACGCCCTGCTAGACTGGTAATAGGTGAATCTGTTGTACTGGCATTGACTGAGGGGCTATTGGATGAAGGTAGAACACTCTACACGGACAAATTTTATACTAGTTGTCCATTAGCTAGGATTCTTCTAACCAAAAGCACACAATTAGTAGGTACGCTTAGACTATCAAGAAAATACCTCCCAAAAGATGTCACGACAAACAAGATAAAAAATCATGAGTACATTGCACGAGAGACTAATGATGGGATTGTTGTCTCGAAATGGAAAGATGCTGGGGATGTACTTATGCTTTCCACACTATACGGAATTAAGATGAGAGTTCCTCCGCCTTCAAGTAAGTGTAAGAGGGCACTGTCACCAACAGCTAATGATGATGAGCCCCCGGAAAAAACGAAATGAAATACTAAAATTAAAGCCAGAAGCTATTATTGCTTATAATAGGGTAAAGTGTGGCATTGACAAGTCTGACCAAATGGCGTCCTACAGTACCTGTAATCGACGAGGCGTCAAGTGGTACCGAAAGGTTTTTTTTTAGTTGCTGACAGGCATATCCATGGTAAATGCATTCAACATATACAAAGAAAAGTCCAATTGTAAATCAAACATAAATAAATTCAGAAAAGACGTAGCCAGAAGTTTATTATTTGGAAATGATGCCAACAGAAAGTATCTAGTGATACCGAAAGTAGCACATTTATTGAAAAGAACCAACGAAAAAAACTCGAAAGCAATGTAGAACTTGCTATGTCAACCTAACAAAAGAAATGCCAAGAGCAGAAGCAAGAAAATAGTATGAAAAGTCCGAACATATTGTGATGGATGTGACGGAAAACCTGCCATGTGTCAAGACTGTCATATTAAAAATCATAGTTCATGAGTTACATAAGGCGATTTTAAATCAGATACTATGTCTTGAATATGATTGACTACACTAATATAAATCAAAAACAATGACGTCATATTGAATATTGTCTTGAAATAGTCAAGTTTAATATGACTACAGTAAAAACGTGGTCATCACAAGTATGAAATGTCAAATGAAATGACAAATGTAAAACTTTTACTTTTTAATTATTAAATCATTGTTTGGTTGTGTTATTTGTAAAATAGAAAGAAATATTTACGAAAGGGAAAAGTGGGACAATGGTGAAGATAGGGTATCAGGTTAAAAAAACAGGTATTTTTATAAAATAAGCTCCTTTTTTTGTAGAGATCTAAAAAAAGGTCCTCCGCTTATATTTATTTACATCAGATTCCTTTTTCTGAGCTTCTCAAAAACAGGTCAAACATTGTCAAAAATATCATTATAAATAACTTTGAATTTTAAAAACGTAGCAATAAGGTAAAATGCGGAGCATTTTTGTACTTTGGCGTAACGCGTGCCAGCAAGTTACAAAGCGGGACCATTACGCCTAAAGCGCGACGTCTGGCAACCCTGGCTGAGTACCTAGATATGGACGCATTTAAGGTTTTTGCAAATGAAAAGACAATTTATTTTCATGGTAGGATTTATTAATGAACATGGCTAAAGTTTTGATAAAAAATTAGAGGCCAAAGTAACTATAATACCAATTTTCTCTTCATCCATGATCAGTAAACAAGACAAATATTTATTTTTTATCCCT